ATTGGAGCAAGGAAGATATAATGTTGGCGATTCGATACTTTTTGAGTTATGGCATTTCATTAAAGACCAGGCTCTTGTATCTTCTCTTACTTATATGTATTATATTTTCTGCTATTCTTAGGACATATATAGAAATTTGTAGTAGTTCGAACATAAACTCGATAGATTATCAGAATATACATATCTTCTGACAGTTTCTGTAAGCATTGTTCAATCATTCTCTAGCTTCCAACTCATATACAGCGATAATGAGATCTCTGCCTTCGTACATTTGATATATGCATATACTATACAGGTTGGTTGGTTTACCAAGTATAGCACTACTAGCTTCAATTCTTTTTCAAATTGGCATATCTGTCGTGAGAACACATGTAAAGTTAAGTCGTTCTGTCAATTATATATTTATATATATCAGAGTATTTTTAATATGAAAAATTTCAATATCGCACAGTGATTAGATTCTTTATTTTGAAGGATTTGAAGCAAAGGAAATTGATGAACAATTGTTAAAGCGTATAACGAGTTCTCACCTTCAAACGCACCGTTGAATTTTGCTATGAGTTTACGCTAGGTCGTAATAGGCTTAAAGACGATCCACGCGGGACGACCAAAACCGCAACACACAGAAGTCATTGACAAGTAAGCATGAAATTGCTAATGCCATATCAGCAAAGAAGGTCTTCAAGGTTTAATCAAGAAATGCACCTGTCATTCACCAGATTTGGCTTCCAGTGACTACTACCTCTACAGAAACTGAGCAAATCCTTGTGGAAGCGTTTTTCGTCGAATGAAGAAACTAGAATACAGCCGTAGACAGGTATTTTGGAGAGTCCGAAAAGACATTATAGGGATGGCATAAAATTATTGTGGGATCATTAAATAAGTGTATTGAAGATAAGAGAGATTATATTGAATAAAAATATACTTGTTATGTCGTACCACAAACAGTATTTTCATTTTGAGCGCATGAAACTTTCAACCAACCTGTATATACGATCAATATGTGAAAATGAAATTTAGTGAAGATGTTTCTGGAGCTAATAATAGCAAATAGCATATGTCTAGCATTGATTTCTGACTATTTGATAAGACAACCAAGATCAGAGTTATACAGATACTTCATAGGAAACGGACTTATTCCTGGAATTACCAGTTTCTTTATAAGCGGTAGAATATGTCCGATATACTTCCGAAATTTTAAACAATATGTAAATTGTGGAACCACCCTAATATCTGACATGGTGAAAGAACGAGTCACTTCAACTCTTTGCGTACTTTATTGTGCTAAAGCTTTAATCAGTAGTCAATTACAGAGGAACGCGAACAGTGCTACGGTATAAAGCTTTTCTTTTGAATTATATATATACATACATATATTTAGAAATATGCTGTGATTTTTCTCATCTATCTATATTTCTTAGTAATAAAGTATGTGAAATTACTCGCCTGTATTATCAGGCTCTAATTGAGCAATAAACCGTTAAATAATCATAATTTGTTTTGGAGGCAAATGGTATATTATATATTTAATCGTTAAAGTTCCAGAGATAGAAAATAGATTTTAACACAATGAAAGTTGTTCTATGAAATATTATCTAATATTTGTATTCTAGGAACCGGAATTTTGATATAAAAGTAGTAAATTAAAATACTTAATAGTAGTAAATTGTCTAAATCTGGTTACCTGATATGTAGTTTCAAACGGGTATGGATATTTGGCTTAGAGTTAGGTATAAAGTCAAACAAAGTGATAATAGGTTAGTAGTCTCCAGATAAATGTCATCAAAATCGCCTTTCATAAGTTTAGAATTCACGTTAAGTGAGATAGCATACTCTTAGTTTCGAGAATTTTTGCTTAATATTTTGGTATGTGTCCACACCATATCGCTAGCTATTCTCTAGCTCATTACGCTTTCGCTTGCCTTCGCTTTGCATGGTATGCATGTGTCGTAGCCTTACGAATATCTATGCTGTTGAACATCGGTATATAGGTATGTACATATACTATACAAAATTAGAATTAGTCACGTTTATGATAGCACACTTATGAATGTAGTCAACTAATATTTATGTATTTTCGGACCATTTTTAAACACACGAAAGTGTTTGTTATAATTATAAGTATGTATGTATATTTTATATACTCTCATAACATGCTATGCATAGAATTGTTTCTTAAATAACGATATTTTGTGAATCATTAACTAATCGAGATATACATGTAGCATACGATTAATGTGAATAAAGCTTAATTTAATATATGGGAATAGGAGCAATTTATACTCAATCAATGAGAAGCTGGATCGACTTCGCACATTTTTGGCATTAAACATAGAATACTTAATATTATTTTTACTTAACATTGTAAGATATCTTACCATTGATTGATACATAATTTTATTAATTTTCTAATATCTATAAGGTATATGGGTAAAAGGGAATATTTGACCGATTATATCCAGGTTTGGTATAACGACATATCATTACCGAAATATAATCTGAATTTGATTTAGAAACCTCTCAGTTTGCCCAATATATTGTATAGGAATAAAGTCAAGTGGATGTTTAAAATCCGTATATTAGATATATGGGACTGGGGAACTATTGCCTTGATAACATTCATGCAAGAGAATACACTGTTATTAGAAAGAGGTTTGTCTCAATTCATTAAGATTCCTTATATTGACCGACAGATGCGGTTAAAGTCCGAAGTTTAGAAATACATATATGATAATAAACTAAATATTAGGTTATTATGAAAGTATTGACTGACTTTACTCATTTTGTACAAGGGCATGCTGTAATCAGAAAATATTCTCTACTAATTTTACTACACTTTACTGATTTACGATATTTAGTAAAAATTCACATATTTGGTCTGGGTCGATTTCGAAATTTTTGGTCAGATGACTACTTGAGACGCAATTTTTAAAAGTTTTACTGTAATAAATCCATTAATGTTTGATTTGATACTGTAAAGTCAATGAATCAGACTGAATTTAAAGTTTTTGCTTGTATGTTCGATTCAGTGGGTTAACGCATTTTTAGTAGCACAACATTACCGTTATAGAGGAGTGGTCGTGGTTATTATCTGATTTTCCCATTTCACAGTGTATACAAAGATGCTAAAAGTGTGGGGTTGAACTAGCCATACTCCTGATATAAATATATTTAGAATATCATAAATGCAGCAATGGAGATGTGGAAATAGAATTTGTGCAACTGTATTTCTGAATGTAGTTACTGTTTATATAACTTCTATCTTGAAACGAAAATGCGTTGATTTAGACATCTTAAGAAAATTATAAAATAAGCGTAATTAAATAAATGAACATGTGTTCTAGCACAATTTAGATTGGCACCAAAATGTGGGAAATCGATTCAGACATTGCACAACCATTGTATTTATTTCTGAAAGGGGATAAAAGAAGATACATGAATTAGAGAATGAGTGTTATCGGCCACACCTCGTCGAGGGAATGCATCTGTTGAACCAAATTTCCATAATCTTCGAAAATCATCTTCGAATATTGACAGGGTCCATTTCGCTCTTGGACTTGATGGTTTGTTATGAAACAGTGTAGCTGCTAAGCTGGTTGCTTAGAACTTTATGAAGTATAACATGCGCTGTATTTTAAATATATATGTAATATTTTCACTAACTTTATATTATTGCAGGTTTAATTATATTATTTACAGCTGATGAAAGATCACGATGTGACAAATGGTGAATACATTGATGATCTGATTGGTGTAATGGATCTTTGCAGTGCTTAGATAGATCGGATGAGCTAAATTGTAAGGGGAATCTATGCGCAGATCAGATTTTATATGTTACTATGAGTCAGTACGTTGGAAAAATGCGATAAAAATCGATTGCATGGATGGCAGTGATGATCGTATGAACATTGTAAACACACGTGGAGCCATAAGTTCAGGTGACATGGGATGTAGATTTTAAACAAAATGTGATGGGTGTCGATTGTCCGACAAACAGACGAGAATCCACAACTGTGTGAAGATGCCAATGCCAAAATTAAACCCTTCCTAAACCTATATTTGGACCTATCTGAAGTGAGACCGAAAGTGAATATCCAACAAATAAACGAACATTTCCTTCACCAGTGATTATTTTAGTTCCAATTTATTCAAATATATTTGTGAAAAGCCTTAATTTTAATTTTCTCGCTTCTAAGTACTGGGTCCATTTCAGTGTTATGAGCTATTTTAAGTAAAAGTGTCCGTTTTCTCTCTTGTCACGTCAAATAAAGTTCTTTATAAAATTAACTTTAATCGGTTTAATCATTTTGGTCACACTTCGTTATTATTCTTAACGAATCGAGTCTCGTCTGTGCTGAAATAAAATCGGTATTCTTATTCGTCATAGTATGTCGAAAATCAACGATTATTGAAAGGATTTTTATCCTTGTGACACATGTATAAAGTGTGTAAAGATTCTAAAGGCAAAGTGTATAGTTTTGTTCACCCAACGTTGTTGTTTCTAAATAAAGCTATTCGAGATATATAGAGTTATTTACTTTATTGTATATAAATACAATGCATCAAGCATGACGAGATCGAGCTGGCCGGGCGTCTATCCGTTTCCTTGTCATTGCGGTAGATAAGCGGAGTATGACTATTTCGACGCCCACAAAATGAGAAATATTATAACTAAAGTTCGAATTTGTTACAGAGCATTAAATTATAGCGAAGCATTTGCAGTATACAAGTTTTACAAAGTGGACGTGGCTCCGACCCTTCTTTGGTTTAATGTACATGGCTAAAAAACCGCTAAAGCTACATGAACCATATGTACCGAGGACACCATCTCAGTCTAGCTCCTCCTTATTCAGCGTGTAATTTAATGAAATCGGTTGAATACGTTCTTCACTTAAAATCTAAGTATTCTTTCTTTAAACTTTACCAATGAATACGAATACTAGATTGCTTAAATATTAGTATTAAGGAATTTGAGAAAACTTAGTTTTATAAATATGTACCTCATATCCTTGCTTGATGGCTGACATGTGGCTGCGAGTTGCGACCGCTGATGGCCATCCGTTATAATCGGCAATTTCCTTACTATGTTGTCCGCACTTTGTCAGCATAAATTATATTGTGAAAAGGTAAAAAGTCAGAGAAAGAGAAAAAGAAAAAGAAAAAGAGGGAGAAACAATACACAATTAGTTATGGATAAGTGTACAAAAGAATACTTGAAAGGAAAATGTATTAGATTCGGTTATATTTTTACTAGGAATCACAAAAAATACAAAGAGACAATTTACGACAATCTGCAAGAGAAAAAGATAATAAGGCGTGTCGCGTGTCAATACGGCTATCCATAGCTCTACAATATACGACCAACGCTACTGGAACTTCGTCATGTTTTAATTCAAAAGAAAACCAAAAATTTACTTTATATTAATATTACTCTCAAGCACTTTTACATGTTTTCTACTGTAAACACCCCCATGAAATATTGATAGTTCATGTGCGCCTTCTAACTTATTATCTACATACCCTCTAGCAGAATTTATGATTCTCAAGATAAACATCATAGAGAGCATTTATTTGTAATGTAATTGGTAAAACATAATTCAAAAGATTTACTTCAAGTCATGGCGATCCCTTCTTACCTTTGTAAATATGAAACCCTTTGCGCGCCTAATGTTTACTAGTTATTTGATTAGTGTGATTCGAAAACCAGGCAAAAAAATGTTAGCCACTAAATTGCCCAATTCTTAGCGAAAAAAATTAGAAACCTTTTTTCTAATGCCTTCTAGTTTTTTTTTAATGCATTACTATTTGAAAAGCTAACTTTTTGTTGTCCGCAAACGTGGCCACAGACATTGAACACCGCGGGTCGGAATCGCCACATCTTTTATGTTGCATTGCCTTTTAAAAAAATCCAGAACACCAGTTGCTATTAAATGTCTATTACTAAAAACCAGTTGTAGATAAACAAAAAAGGGTACGGAAAATATTTAGAAAAAACGATGAAAGTGAAAATCACACATTCAAATCGCCAAAAAAGTATGTAAACAAATGTCGATAACCTAGAAAATAGCGCAAAGCGGCGCAAAAACTTCTAATTTTAAAAAATCTAATAAAATATAATAAAAAAGATTGCACGGGAATCCCAACGCTGACTGCCAAATGCAACGAAAAAAAAATATAAAAAAGAAAACAACAAAAAGTGCAAAAAAACAAAATCCGTTGCAACGCTAGTGCATTTTGACGGCCAATCTAAGCGCAAATGTCAAATAGAAAGTAAAATATAAAAAGTGGCGGCATGCCTGGCCTGCTAGCACGGCTAAATGACTGACTGAGTGAGCCAGCGGTTAGCTGGGGCGGAAATGAATAACAGTATTTTTTCTAACAGTATTTTTTCTAAATCGCGCCAAATTGATTCGTGTGTACTTCTGAGTATTACGTGTGGGTGTGGTTGTATGCGTATGGCTTTTATATGACTGACTGGACAACACTTGCGGCTAGGCAAACATTTTTTAGGATTTGCATATTTTGTGTCTTTTATTGGCCAATTTTTTACTGTTTGCGATATTTGTCCAATATTCTTTTTTCTGTCACTTCTCGCAAGCGCTCCAAATGGCCTAGAAAATATAGAAAATGGTAGTCTTTATTATCTCTTTGCAGCTAGTAACCGCTGGCTAATTGCCTGTTGTTTTTGAAAAAGTTAGTTGAAGGTTTTATTTTTCATGGCTATGCAGTGTTATGTCTTTTTTGGAATTAAATTTCTTTAGATACAAGATTTATTTTTTGTCACTGTCGATTATACACGCGTTGCGCCACTTGCTGTTGATCCACTTAAGCAACAGGTGTGATTCGATTCATACCCTTCATGAACAAACGCAAATATTGTTAAAGAAATTATTGTACATGGATAACATTATATATGTATATATGAGTGGTTTCGCAGACACTACTCGGGTAAGTAAGACATCTTTTTGTCTACTTAAGTCTTGGCTCTGGATCGCGGCTACAGCATCGCAAACCGACCTGATAATGCAGCTTATTAGAGCCTGTAATCCAAACCTGCCAACAGTGGAGTTGAAATTATTTAAGGCCTTGTTTTAAAATTTAGCTTAACTAATATAATAGTTTCCTTTAGGAACCTTTATAAAATGTAACGGTAGTCATATTCCACGCTGTGGTTAGATTCTTTCCACCGATTCATTATGTGAATACAAAGAGACTAAGTGGCTGATACAGAAATCACATAAAAAGTAGTCGCTCGAATAGCTGTTAGTGTTACAAACATAATTACAAACATATTTGGATTAATACATTTTGAATTTGAGATTAATGTTAACAGATATGCGGATTCCACCTAAGCCCATTTCTAAAGAACACACTTACGAAAATAATTTTCAAAGTACTCTCGGACATTTCATACGAAAATTTGAAAGAAGTGTTAATGCTATACTCTCACCAAAAAATTCGAAAAAAAATGAATCTTTATGCCTTGACATAAGAAAAGACGAACCAAGTATACCGAGGAGTACATATTTTAAATAGTTATCGTAAATATCCCAAGCAGACCGAAAGTGTCTGACAACTGCTAGAAGAGGTTATTTGTCGAATAATGTCGAAGTGCACACCAAAGGGAGAATCAACTCGGAAACAGCAAAGTGGTATTGTAAATCTGTATTAATAATAACGGCGTGATTATACGTAGAAAGGAATTACAAAATTTCCATTGAAACTCTGCGGTGGGCGAATGGCGATTGAAAAACGTATGCAAAACTTCTTGGGTTGCAATAAAACCATTTTCAAGCAGGAGCAAGTCAGGTATTCGGCAGTCTTGCAAGCTGAAGAAAACCATGCGAACACAGCTACAGCGAACACAGGACTAAGCGCAGCAATAAACGCCTGCAACAGCTCACCCAACGACACTCAAGCTAGCCATCAACAAAACTGCGGCAAACACACCTCTAACCCACTAACAAAAGCAACGTATTTTAATGCCACCTAGTTGCCATACGCACACATTGCAGCAAAGAAAAAGTAAGGCAAACGTAATGATGATGCCGCCTCATAATAGTAGAAAGTAACAAAATGGAAGCTCTGCTGCAGGAGTTCCAAAACAACCAGCATAAAATTAAATAATTAAAACAGAAACGAAAAATCGAGCAATTGTATGTAGCTCAGCGAAAAGTGCCGCCATGGTAGTCCATTTTGCGCGGTGTTTTGCCGAATTGTAAAAAACGGTGTTGGTAACCAAAAAGCGTAAGCCAAAAACTTCTATGCACGTGGTGTGCTTGTATGTGGATTCGTGCGTCTATGCATTTTTTAGCTATTTTTTCGGTTTGTTTTCTTGCAAACACAAAAATGTTATGAGAAAAAACGCTTTAAAAAGTGGTTGGTTGGAAAAAATGCCGCGAAAAACGAAGCTGCCGGAAAGTGCCAACTCGCACTCAATGTACGGCGGCCACTGGTCAGTAATGGAAAAAAGGTATTCATTTTGTTGCTGCCTTATATGCTACGTCTTCCCACAGCGATGCTGCATTATACCACTACTTCCCACTTCTAGTAAACAAAAAAGCAACAAAACAGAGAAATGAGAAACAAGCGCCACAGCAAATCGTCTGATTTTTACACGTTCGTTGTTTTTTCCGAAACCCTTAGCCGCCTTAGTTGCAGCAACAACGCTTCCTACTTCAGCGCGCTTTTGACCAACACTTTATGCAATTTTTACGATTTTTCTACACATTTTTTGTTCTCGTTTTTAAATTCCTCACAGCCCGCTCTTATCCTTTTGCCGACCATTACAGTCGTAACTTGCATGCACACGAGACATGAACCCGTATCAACGCTAAGCCGATGCCTTTCGTTGTCCCCTTGGTGGCCATACACACACACTCACTTTATATGTATGTATGTATATACACAACCGGGCGCTGTTTCAGTAGTGCACATGGGGACTAACACATTGACTTCGGTGTTGGCAGTCAACGCGGTCAAGGAGGCGGCTGCAGAATAGAGAGTTAGGCGAAGTGGCAATAGCAGCATTCGCGCAAAGCGAACGACGCAATATCAGAAAAAAATTAGGCAAACTACAAACACACAATTTTTTACCGACGCGAATCTTTTGCAATTTCTTCCGAACCCTTTGCTTTGCTGAGCAACGCCGGTTGTGAAGAGTCTGCGAACGGGTACGAGTTTGGTTATGGTAACTGAGTTATATGGCTTTAAGCCTCAAAAGATAGCTGCAATGCAATAGTGTGTGCGGTAGGACTGGGGTAGGCGGCGTTGCAACTGTATCAGCGGCCGATTCGTAACTATGTTACCAGTGGGCTTAACCACTCGTATATTCTTCCTTCAACGAGCAAAGGACCGCCTTAGTCAGCGGACTAGTCTTTAACACTTCACTGTTGTATATTTATTTATATTTATTAACCCCAGGGCTGATATTGTAAAATGGGAAATGCAGCTTCAAATCGAGGGTGGAAATCGCTCAAATGTATGTATTATATACTTATATGTATGTATGTTATGTAGCTTGAACCGCTATTGACAAAGCGAAAATGAAAACACTATTGTAAAATCAGAAAAGTTAGCGAAGAAATTCACTTAATTTTTAGAGGTACAGCTATAAAAATATATTAGGTTCTGATATAAAAACAAGAAAAAACGTTAACTGCGGTTGCACCAAAGCTATAATACCCTTCACAGGTACAAAGGTTCCTTACAATAACTTGATTCAGATGTAATTTCGTGAATCGGCAATAAAAAATAAAATGTTTTTCCCAGCAGGTACTTTACTCCGATCGTTCAGTTTATATGATAGCTGTATGACATAGCGATCCGATCAAAACAATTTTTTCGGAGATTATATTCTTGCCTTAGAAAATAACTCATGCCAAATTTCGTCAAGATGCCTCGTCAAATGAAAAAGTTTTTCATGCAAGCACTTTACTCCGATCGTTCAGTTAATATGGCAACTATATGTTATAGTCATCCGATCTGTACAATTTCTTAGGAGCTTGCAGTATTGCTTTAAATAATATTCTGTGCCAAATTTCGTGAAGATACCTCGTGATATGAAAGAGTTTTCCATACAAGGACTTTACTCCGA